GACTCTAATACCATTGGCTGAAAGTAATAGGATATTCACACAGTGCTAAAGTGTCACTCCACAGGTTACTGTACTTACTAATTTTAAAGGCATGTATCTGGTGGTCACCACCTTAACTAAGTGATCGGAACTTAACCTCACTGCTTACGGTATAAAGAGACATTTGTGCATCCAGATTCATGCAGCATGTCACTACTTCTGAAGTATTCCAGCAAAAAATTCTTAACCCAAATCTAATCGAACCTCTAGACCTAGCTTCCAGTTTAAAGAAATTACAAGGGATAGAGTAACAAGTTAATCAATAGCATGAAGAAATAATTGGACAAATCCAGAGTACTGAACGTTATACCATAAAATGGTTCTGGACTCATCAAAAGGACAATGTGAGGGGGGAAAAGAGTGGAGGCACTAATCTAGAATGAAATAAATACAATAATGAAATTCAGTGTGTGACCTTGATTGGATCGTGTTTGAGAAAGAAAAAATAGCTATAAAAGACATTTTGGGCATAGTGGGAAAATTTCAATATGGACTGAATATTAGGGAATTGTTATTAATTAACTGGCTTCTATTTGATAATAATATTATGAGTATATAGGAGAATGTCCTTATTCTTAGGTGATGTATTTTGAAATATTCAAGAGTGAAGTGTTATGATATCTGCAACTTACTTTCAAATTGATCAGGAAAAAAAGATTCTATTGAGAGACAGAGAGAGAAAGCAAATATGACAAAAAGCTAACAATTGATTTATCTAAATGGAGCAAATGTGAGTGCTCATTTTACTATTCTTTCAACTTTCTGGATATTTGAACATTTCCAAATAAAAAAATTGGGCAAAAAAGTTTCAAAAGTAAAAATAAAAAATCAACTGGGGGAAAATAACAGTTAATATTTTTATAATTATACAATGGAGAAAAACCTTTAAAGTATTATTCAGAAGCAAAAACCATTCAAACCTAAGCAACATAGTGGGAACCTGTCTCTACAAAAATAGAAACTTAACCAGGTATGGTGGAACCGGCCTTTACTCCCAGCTACTTGGAGGCTGAGGCAGGAGGATCCCTTGAGCCAAGGAGTTTGAGGTTGCCGTGAGCTATGATTGTATCACTGCACTCCAGCCTGGGTGACAGAGCAAGATTCTGTCTCAAAAACAAAACAAAACAAAACAAAAATTCAATTAAAGATTCATAGATTTAACTACATACAAATTTAAACTTTTGAATCACGTACAAGCACCATAAACATATGGCACATGATAAACTGGGATAAATATACACATTTGACAAGAAAAATTGAATATCCTTATTCTATCTCTCAGTTCTTACTATTGAAAAGAAGAAAAAGATTTATGTTCTGATAGAAAAATGTCGAAGGGTATGAATAAATAATTCAAAAAAAGGGTAAAGATGAGAAGATATGGAGTACCTAGTATTAACAACTGCTTGGTTAATGTTTCTGAACCTTCATTAAAGTGGTCTGAGGTGCTTATTAACAATGTAACTTCCTGGACCTACTGAATCTAAATGTGGTGGTGAGGTCTGGGTATCAGTATAATAAAAACTCCCCTAATGATTTATAATCATTCCCGAATAATTTGGGAATCAAGAGTATGACGCAAAAATTTCCTTCTTTCAAGGTCAGGCGCAGTGGCTTACACCTGTAATCTGAGCACTTTGGAAGGCAGAGGTGGGAAGATTTCTTGAGGCCAGGAGTTTGAGACCAGCCTGAGCAAGAACGAGACCCTGTCTCTGCAAAAAATACAAAAATTAGTTGAGCATGATGGTGTGCACGTATAGTCCCAGCTACTTGGGAAGCTGAGGCAGAAGGATCACTTGAGCCCAGGAGCTGGAGGTTGCTGTAAGCTATGATGATGCCATAGCACTACACTCCAGGTGACAGAGCAAGACCCTGTCTCAAAAAAAAAAAGAAAGAAATTCTTCTTTCCATCTACTTACCTTTGTCTCAAAAGAAATGCGGGAAAACAGAGCCCAGACTAAATGTCGCCTCTTTACTCCTGGCCTGTGTGCTGCCCTGCCATAGGCAAATTCCTTAACCACATTAGTACAGTGTGAATAATAACTACCTTGAAGGACTGTTATAGGGACTAGAGACACTGTAAAGTGCCCAGTACTGTGTTTGGCATATAATAGCTTCCTAATAAAGGATGGTTATCATTATTTTCCACTCTTACTCATATTCTACTTTTACACCACTGCATTTCTTTTTTTCCAGGTGACATGATCCTTTTCTTCTTGTATGTGTGTGTGTGTGTTATAGCGTTTTATGCATAATTGCTGAAAACTAGAGATAACCCTCTTATGAGTTGAATCATATCACCCCAAAATATGTTGAAGTCCTAACCCCCAGAACCTCATAATATGACCTTATTTGGAAACAGGGTCATTGCAGGTGTAATTAACTTTAATGAGGTCATATTGGAGTAAATGAGTCCCTAATCTGATTGGTGTCCTTATAAGAAGAGGGAAATTTGGACATTATGCACAGAGGGAAGACAGATGTGAAGACACACCAGGGAAGATAGCCATGTGACCACAGAGGCAGAAATTGGAGTGATGCATCCACAAGCCAAGGAGTGCCAAGAAGTCCCAAGGAGTGTCAGCAACCACCAGAAGGTAGAAACAGGCAAGGAAGCATTCTCCGCTACAGGTTTCAGAGGGAGTATGGCCCTGCTGACACCTCGATTTAGGAGTTCTAGCCTCCGTAACTATGAGAAAATCATTTCTGTTCTCTTAAGCCATCCAGTTTTTGGTATTTGTTACAGCATTCCCTAGGAAACTAATACAAACCCTAATATCTTTCAATAGGTGGTTGTAAAACAAACTCATAGAACCATACAATGGACTACAACATGAGTGAGTCTCAGAGACATTATGCTGAGTGAAAGGAGCCAGTCTCTAGAGGTTATATCCTATATAATTCCATTTATGTGACAAATCTATAGAGAAGGAAAACAGATCAGTGTTTGCCAGAGGTTGGGATGGGGTAAAGGTTTGACTACAAAGGGAAAACATGAGAAAAATTTTTGGAGTCGTGGAACTGCTCCATATCCTGATTGTGGTGGCAGTTACCTAAATCTATGCATTTGTTAAAACTCATAGAACTGTAGAACCAAAAAGAGTTAATTTTGTGGTATATTAATTTAGATATTTAAGAAAATGAAAGCACACACACACATAAATACACACATATATATTAATATATACCCAAATAATTTTCTTTAAAAAAATGTTTTAAAAGAAATTTTCCATCTGGGATTCTGCCAGAAGGCTGTTTTGTGGGAGTTCTGCCACATTGACCCTTGTGTTCTATGGGCCTGTTTTTCCATCTGTAAAAGGAGGGGATCTGTCTAGAGCAGTGATTTTCATTCCCTCCTCCCCATATTGTGCCCTAGGCACTCCTTTTGTGGAAGTGGGGCAGAGTGGGGGTGATGATGGGTTTGGAAAGAAAGGACATTCGAACTTCACTGGGCTCTGGACACACAGGTCTGCTTCAACTGGAGCAGTTGTCCTTTTGTCTCATATATTTTTTGTCTAAAAAGCTCTGGATTAGAATAGGTGAATAGGTGAACCCAAGTCAGAGTCCCAAATACCTGGGGAGTCCGAACAATCCTGGATTCCAGGGCCTGTGTATGGGGCTCACTTGTTCATCCCTTTTGCAAGTGCTCCATGGGTCCTGGTAGTTAGCAAGACCAGGCTGCTGGCTCTAGCAGTCAGTGACTCTAAACAAGGTGTTTGAGGGAGAGCTGGAATTGTGCTTCTTCATGATCCTCTGAATGCACATGGATTAAACACAATGGGACCTCTGAAAAGGCTCTAAATCTAGGCCTCTTCTGAGGTAGGGTGCAAAAGGACCCTAAACCATTTGTTTTTAAACACTGGATAATTTTTTTTGTTTTTTGGGAAAAGCACTGTGTAAACAACAAAGGGCTGTGCACAGATGGGGAAAATGCCATTATGAGGATGTGTGTTGACCCCAAACCAGCAGAGCCGAAGAGTATCCTTGCCCTTTACTCCTAGCATGAAACCACTCATGTGCCAGGTACTGTGCTAAGGTCTAGTCCTCACAACAGCTCTGTGGGAGAAGGGGTGTCATTGTTTTGACAGGTGAGGAAACTAAGGCTCTGAGAGAGGCCCCAGGTCACAATGGGAGGAGATGTCAGAGGTGACAGGGCTGGGTCATGGCCAACAGCTCCAGCCTCCCAAGCCAAGGTCCATAAGAGGAACCCCTGAGGCCTAGTGTCAGGGGTGCTCTGTCTCAGTACATGCCCTGGGAAAGGGACTATTGTCCCTTTTCACAAAGGCTGGTTAGGGATCACCAAGGACACCATGAGACCTTACCATCTAGTGGAGCACTCAAAAAAATACAATATTTTTACACTTTGTAGAGTGGAATGGTTTCTTCAAAGCTAATGTATAAACTCAAGCTAGAAAACCAAAGATGGACCACTGTGGTTGAAGGTGGGGGCAAGGGTAGCCTGAGACTCCCCCAGGGCTCTTGGAGCACTGCTTGAAGTTCACTTATCCAGTAGGTTTGCACTTACTAGGAGAAGCACAGGGGTACCATGATGTCTAAAGCTTTGACTTTGGGTTGGAACGAACTAGGGGGACTCACTGGAGGGTTAGCCAGCCTCAGGCAGGGCTTGGGATTCCAGGCCTGCCACATGTTGGGTGCTGCTGGCAGGCCCATCTGAGCTGGGCATCATCTTCGCCACATGGTTCCCGCCAGGCCCCAGCAGCCTGACCTGCCCTCCCCCGCAAGATAAGAAACATTTTTGCCATCTTACGTTTAATGAATTTTATTCTTAAAACAAAGGGCTTACTACGCTAAAAATTCCATCACCCCTCCCTTTTTTCTTGCCGGTCTACAAGGCAACATCAGTTTTCTTTACCAACAAGATGCCAAGTGTTCAAATTCAGTCTTGCTGTAGAATCGCGGCAGATGTCAGGGGCTGGCTGTGATGGCTCACACCGGCATCATCAGATGATGTCTTTCTCGTATATGTCAGGAATCCTACCAATCGGTGAGTCGATCATGTGCACAGTGTTCTTACTAAACAGCTTGAATTCATAATGGATGAGCTGTTCCCAAAAGCCGTTGTTGGGCCGGATGATGGGGCGGCACGACTTGGTCCAAGTGTGGGCGGCCAGCAGGGACATGGAGTGGTATTTCATGAGGTAAGCCAGGCAGAGGGCGGCTGAGCGGCTCACTCCGGCGACACAGTGCAGCAGTGTGCGGCCCTGCTTCATTTCCACGTCGTGGATGTAATCAGCGATCGGGTCAAAAAACTCACAGAGGCGTGAGCTGGGAGCATCGACCACCGGTACCTGTAAATATTGAATGTCCTTGAAGGGCGTGTTCACCACCTCCACTGACACATTGATGACCGTGGTGATGTTGTTGCTGGACAACATAAGTTTGTTGTTGGCGGCCACACCACCGCTGAGGTATAGGGTAGTGGTTATCCGAGAGAGGCCACGGATAGAGGCCTGCCGGGCAGCCTGAGATGGCATGGAACTCAGAGGTGTTGTCATCAAGGCGGCTGGTCAGGGGTCTCTCCGCGCTGGTTCGGGGCACCACCCTCGCAAGGGAGTGCAGGAAAGCAGCCCTGCCGCGTCTCAGAGGAGGGTTTGGGGGAAAGAGGACTAGCCACCCATTGCCACCGTCTTTTACTCTACTCCGCCCACGCCCACCCTGAGCGTCACAATCCCCAATGGCCAGGAGGCGGTGCTCTGGTTTCCATGGCAATGGCCACTTGCAGCAGGGAGGACAGAACCTCTGAGCCCGGTCTTCAGAGAAACCCGCAATCTCTTTCCTTTTTATCTTTCTACATAGTCGTTTATTTTCCAAGGCCTACTTCTTTTTTTTTTTTTTTATTTAAGGCCTACTTCTTATCTTTCTTGACTTTTTAAAATGTTTTGACACAAGATATCTATTTTATGCTTCAATTATTGGACCACACTGAACTCAATATCTATGAATACTTCTATTCCACTATTGTTGAAAACATGGCTTGCACTTTCTCTGCAAAGTAGCAGTATCATATTTTAAGTTGGGGAGTAGTATAGGGCTCATGTGATTTGCTAATCTCTATAAAACTGTAGAGAGATATGGCTGGGCTTGGTGGGCTGGCCTGATACATCTTTGTTGATTGTAACCCTAAAATTATGCTCCTGCTTACAAACACATTAGCACTGGTTTTAAGGGAGTATTGCTAACTGATATATATATACCCCTTTATCTATCATGAAGTTGGCCTGTGGTGGACAGGTGTGACTAATTTAGCTATGTCACAGTCCATTTGTACATACAGCTCAAATGATTTACCCCTCGATTCTACTTTATTGCCTGAAACAACAGCTCAAATGACCTTTTCCATTTTTTTCAAAAAGAATGCCCACATGCTTTGTAAACTACAAGTCACTTTGACCACCACCAATGGTGTCTTTCCAGTAATATTAAACATTCTGGAACAAGTTAATGCTACGTGGTAAGTAGGGCAAAAATTGATTTTTAAAATGCTACCTGACATTTGCATTTCCTCTCAGCTAAGATTTTTGTAGAATTTGGCAGTAAATCAAAAAGTACTATAACCTAAAACTAACAAATTGTTTCACAGAGCGGCCAAGAGACTCAAATACTTCAATCTCATTACATCATCATTTTGGTTTGTGTGCAAAGGTGTGCTGTGATTATGAACAAAGATGAAATAGATGCCAGCCTGTTTATGATGGTCAAGAAAATGATAACCTCAAAACATAACACACTTTTCTTTTTCTCAGTTGTCATAATCAAATTATTTTGCATTATTCAAATTGTCAGTCCCCACGAGTCTATCTGGAAGAAAACAGAGCATAAATACTAAGTAAATATGAAAAGTGCCTATTAGGGATAGCTCAACTGGGCTAAAGTTATTTAAAAGAGTTTAGTCTAGCATTTTACATAGGATATCAAGAAGAGCTTTGTAATCTATGGAGTAATGTGGAGGCCCTAAAACAGTATTAGAGTTTAGTTATATCATAAGCATACACTTTTTTTTTGAGACAGGGTCTTACTTTGTCACCTGACTAGAATGTAGTGGCACCATCATAGCTCACTGCAACCTCCAACTCCTGGGCTCAAGTGATCCTCCTGCCTCAGACTCCCACGTGGCTGGGACTAAAAGCATGTGCCATCATGCCCGGCTAATTTTTCTATTTTTTTGTAGAGACGGGGTCTCCCTCTTGCTCAAGCTGGCCTCAAACTCCTGGCCTCAAGCAATCCTCCCACCTCAGCCTCACAGAGTGCTAGGATTACATGCGTGAGCCACCATGCCCAGCCAAGCATACACTTCTTAAACTTTAAAAATATACCAAAATTTCAATCAGATGTGGTGGTTCATGCCTGTAATCCTAGCACTTTGGGAGGCCAAGGTAGGAGCATCGCTTGAGGCCAGGAGTTCGGGACCAGCCTGGGCAATATAGCAAGACCTCGTCTCTACAAAACATAGAAAAATCAGCTGGGCATGTTGGCATGTGCCTGTAGTCCCAGCTACCTGGGAAGCTGAGGCAGGAGGATTGCTTGAGCCCAGGAGTTTGAGGTTGCTGTGAGCTATGATCACACCACTGCACTCTAGCCTGGCTGACAGAGAGAGACCCTGTCTTAAAAAAAAAATTACTGAAATTAACCAAAATAATTTCAGACACTATTCTCAAAGATAAGCATGACCCATATTAAATAGATTCATTTATTTATTCTTTCATATTCTGTGATACCCTTTAAGGTATCTGAGGGATGTTGGATGTCTTAAAATTCCACTACAAGGTTTTTCTCGGGTATATCAGGAGTTGACCTTTCCTCCCCTTGAGTCTGGAAACAGATCACTTTCAGATTCCCATTTGTCTCTACTTTTCCTTGTTATTCAGTAAAGAAAATGTATAAGGGACTTGCCCAAGAACACACTCTTTATGCCACTGGGAAAAGACCCTGGATGTTAAGAGCTAGTTCATCTTCAGATTTCTCAATTCAGTAGTCAAGGCCCTTTCCCGTCTTATCTAAGCCTGCCTTTCGAATCTCATTTGTTCATTTATTCATCAGATTTTTATTAAGAATCTGTTGTGTGCTAGCCATTTTTACCTATATAATTCCTCAGTTCTGACCAAACAAATAAAATGTTCTTGGTAAACAGAAAATGTACAATCCTGCTTCCTTCCTTTTGCTCATGCCATTCCTCTCTCTTGAGAAACCTCCTCACTTTTCTCTGCTTCCTGAATCCTATCTGAGCTTTAAGAGTCAGCTTGATTAATTTGAAAAGAGGATCAACTGAGCATCCAATCTTCCCATCTGTATCATGAACAGTCCTAGCATGGTGTAGATCCAACACAACACAGAGCCTGATTTCCAGGAGCTTGTAGTTTGGTCAGAGAGAGAGATAATCTTGGAAGTGTCCAGAGGATTCATTGTTTTATGTGTATGTTTGGGGACCAGAGACAATAGGGGGATGTCATGGAAGAGTTCACAGAAAACATGACCAGGAACAAAGCTTTTTGTTTCTTTGTTTTTATTATTTATTGTTTATTCTGTCCAAGTTTCATTTTGAAAAATATCAAACCTACAGAAAAGCTGTAAGAATAGAACAATAAACACCTGTTTATTCTTCACCTATAATTCATCTATTGTTAACACTTTGCCACATTTCCTTTGTCTATTTAGATATACAAACATACATATTTACTTAGTTGCTTGTTTCTTTTTGCTGAACCATTGAGGGTTTATTGCAGATAAAGTAACACTTTAATCCTTTAGCGTGTATCTTCTAAGAACAAGTACATTCTGCATAACTACAATACAATGACCATATCCAGGAAGTTTAACATTGACCCCATATTATTATCTAATATATAATCCATATGCATCTTTCTTGAAGTGGCAGGTAAAAAGAAATAAAAATATTTATATAATCTACATTCAAATTTCATCAAGCCTCCCACTAATATTATTTATAGCTCTTTTTTTCTTTTTGATCCAGGATCGAATTGAGGATCACATACTGCATTTAATTTTCATGTTTTTTTTAGCATCTTTTAATTTGGAACAATTTCCTTTTGTTTTATTTTGGTCTTGCTGGACATTGGCATCCTTAAAGAGTTTGGGCCAGTTTTGCAAAACATCTTTCAACTTGGATTTGTTTGATTGTTTCCTCAGGATTAGATTCAGGTGAAATATTTTTGGTAAGAATGTTACCAGAATGTGTGATTCTCAGTACGTTGTATCAGGGGGCATATGTTATCTGTTTGCCATATTAACTATGATGATGATTTTGACCACTTGGTTAGGATGGCATTAGCTAGGCTTCTCCAATATAAAAGAAGCTTTTCCTCTTTGTCAATAATAAGGAATATGTGGGGTGGTACTTTGAGTTTGTGGGACTATCTTTGGAACAGCACTTTGAAGAAAAAATAGAAGTTCTCTAGGCAGACAAGGAGGAGGGAACATTCTAGACAGAAAGGGAAGTATATGCAAAGGCACAACGATATGAAATAGTGTCAGGAAGGCGGAGAACAACTCAGAATTGCTAGAGTATACAGAGTGTAGCAGGAGAAATGGCGAGTGGGATGGCTTAAAGATCCCAAAGAGCCTTAAAGCAGGACCTTGCGCTCGATCCTGTAGGCCAGGCGACATAGTGGAGTATTTTATGCAGGGAAATAGCATCATCAGACTGAATTTTTAGGAAGCTCACTTACAGGTAAGTGGATGGATTTGTGGAGAGAAGGGGTGAGGTGGGGAGAATGGCAATACTAGGGGGAGTGAGAACTAATAGTTTAGGTGAGCAATGATACATCTGTTATAGACTGCTCTGATGTGGAAGCTGGATCAAGTCCGAATATATTTCATCTCCTCAAGTATACATATGGGCTAGCCACATAAGAAGGTGGAATCCAAACTTCCTAGGGATCGGGGTGTGGAGTTTGGTGTCTTGAAGTGAGGACAGTTAAGGAAAGAGGCTGAGAGTGCAGATAATATGCTTAAATTGGAGGGTGTTGGTAGAGATAAAACCTTAAGGAGTATGGGGTGAGGGCACAAGAGAGTCATGTAGCTAAAAGGAGTTGTATGCTATGTTGTCTGACATTCAGGTAGAGTGGGAGTTCCACAGAAGAAGGCCCTAAGGCAGAGGTGGCAGTTGGCCTCCCTGAGTAATGAGCATGGAGAATTATTGCTGTGGTTTGGATGTTTCTCTCCTCAAACCTCATGTTGGAATTCGATCCCCAATGTTGGAGGTGGAGGCCTAATGGGAGGTTCAGATCCCTCATGAATGGCTTGGTGCCTTCCTCATGGTAATGAGTTCTCACACTATTAGTTCCCACAAGAGCTGATTGTTAAAAAAGAGCCTGGCACCTCCCCCCTCTCTCTCTTGCTTCCTCTTTTGCCATGTGATCTCTGCACACACCGGCTCCATGTGGCCTTCCATCATGAGTGGAAACAGCTTGAAGCCCGCACTAGAAGCAGATATTGGGGCCATGCTTCTTGTACAGCCGGTAGAACTATGAGCCAAATA